GGGATCCGGGCTCATCATCCACGGCAAAGTATTGATCAGGGAAGGTGAGAAAAGTATACAGGTCGCCAGTTTCCCGTGATTTCATCTGATTCAGAGGTTCATTTTTAGTCATCTCGTTTCACTTAAGCCACTTCTAAATAGTTGGGAACTTTATTTGACGTCTGCACTAATCGGCTTGTCGTCTCACACGAAGGCATGATTAGTCAATGTTGCATCATGACCTACGGTCCTGCAGCCGCGCTTCGACGAAAAACGAGGTTGAAGCCTGTCAGGGATAGTTTCTATGAGCACATGGTTCAGGCGGGTGTTGACTGTTGTCTATATGTGCAACTCCGACGGAGCGTCGACTCCCTAAGTCACTCTCATCAGCCTCTGATATGAACATTCGTGTCTTTAATCAACATCTTTATGTCTGCTTTGTGCCCTATGGATGAGTTCATTTAGATGATGGCGGAATTCGTATTTCACGATCTCTGAATAGGTGTAAATCAATGCACGGTCAATACAAATATAAATGTTTTCCGGATGTCCTGAAGTAAGCGGAAACCGCTTACTTGGTAGAAAGGCGTGAAAGAGATCACAGAGTGACGAGCCTTATGGCTGTACGGCAGTGAAGCATCAGTATCAACACTGATATTGTTGTCTTTGTTGATGGTGATGTTTTCAGGGCTTCTGCGATTTGAATGCGCCACTAACCGTTACAACGCAGATCCAGCACTATCTGTGATCCATAAAAGCGGATTCAGCAACCACATTGAGTGCAATGGCAACCCCGAATCGCCCAGCGCGCGTCATCCTGGAACGTGTAAGCGAAAAATGTGTGTGAACACCAGGTGATTGTAGTACAGCCACTCTCTAAGTATCCTAGTGCCCAACCTCGGAAGGCTATCAAACATCGATTTTGAGGAAAACCCGTCGTTTTGGGCAGTGCTGTACATGTAATGAACACATAACACTGGATTGTCGCTTTGAATGACATGTTGAAACTAGCTATAGCGCTGTTGTGTCGTTGTTTTGGTGCTATATAAATGAACTGCTATCTGTCCATTGCTACCACCCGTATAAAAATACTGTTATAGTGGAGTGTCAATGGGAATTTCTAATCTGAATTAGAGGATTGATTTCTGGACCCTCATCTTGACTTCTTAATTGAGGGATTTGACTAACAAAGCCGTGGAATGCATTACTGTGGTTGCGTCTTTCTGGAGGTTGATGACTAATGGTTGATTCTCGGGCCATCGTTCGACATTTCAGAGTGCGGTGAGTTTCATTGCTCCCTAGAGGTATGGTCAGACTTCTTTACTTGGGATCTGAATGACATACCCCATTTCCAGGGTTCTTATAAAGCAACAATTATCAATGATTTCTAGCACCTGTAAATCCCCGCTCCCTGCACTGCGGTATCTAGGTCTGCTATTCACAAGACAGCAGAATAAGTAGGTTTGGGCATTTATGGTTATTTTTACCACTGCAAGCAGCAACACCATTGCATACTTGTGCTGGACTGGATCGCCACGAAGTAACCGGTTTGTGTACCTCGGCGATACATTGAGCTATATTGGGGAGGGGCGGGTGTTCGCGCGACACTCGCAGTCTCTCATACCGGGTAGGTCAATTGTTAGAGGTCTGATGAACAGTCCCCTGGTCCTTCAGGTTGGGGGCTGGAACCTGTGTGACGACTTGTTCCGTGAAAACGGCAATGTGTTTGCGTTTCTCGCCAAATATCTCTGCCTCGCCGTCAGGCTTTTGAGCCAGAGGCTTCAGTTGGTGATCCTAATCGTCATTCTGTCTAGGTGTGGGCGCCCTGGTAGTATCCCAGCCCGCATACAACCATAAGTTGTACATGTACAAATAAACTCGTACGGCATCGAAGCATCAGTTTTGACTACCGATGTCAAGCTGTCGATGATGATGACCTACACTCCACTATCATGCAGTAACACTGTCTTGTTTTACGAGATTGTTATTGTGAACGGCCTCACTTCTAGCTCAGCACAAGTTTTCTGGTGCACTTACAATCCCAAACACCTAGTCATGGAAATTGGATAAAGGTTGGTAGCTTAAGCGTTAGATTGTTTTCCGGTTGAGTGAAGGGATGATCACCCGGACTTCATCCTTGAAGGTGGATCGTATTAACCACATCAAGGCTCTTAGTTGTCGCCTCAGTTACCTTGTCCATCTACAGAATTTGTTCATCTTTCTTGTTTCTTCCTCTTATCAGTCCTCGGTTCATCGACACAACCACTGCATTCCCATCTCATTTTGCTTCATCAAATGTATCCGTTTGGTGATATCGTATTGAAAAGAAGTCGCAAGGTGGCCTTTTTATGTGGGTGGTTAGCATCCCTGTTCCATGAGCGCATATTGCGGATCCACTAATGCCGACTGACCCGAAATGTGATTGACTTATTTAACTCACGACAGCTATCCAGTTCTCAGTGCTCTTAGGTTTGCAGCGTTCGACCAACGAGTTCTTTTGGAAATATTACCGAGTCTAATTGGAACGTCAGCCAGTAGTAATGTAGCGAAGTAATTCACACAGGAGAACCTAATTGCACTGTTCAGACCAAACTCAGTTCTCCACAAGCTGTTTAGCTACGTGACGGACGTGTTGATATGCTGTAGGAAGTCTGCTTTCACTGCTCCATTGGGTAAGATGGCACAACTCAGGTGATAACTGCCACGATAAAATGGTTCGGCTTGACTACTACCATATTGCTATGGGCTACTCTGAGTGGAACACTTCCTCAACGTTCAACCATGTAAGGCGGGTCAAACAGACTCACTACCCACTTACTGCTAGAACTCGCATACTGAAACGGTCTGGGGGCAAATCTTTATTTACGCTAGGAATGTAAGATATCTGTATTTAGGGGAACAGCGACCCGACCCTCCCTTGTAGGAAGGCCGGCTACAATAGATCGGTTCTAACAACCGTGTACTGGTCGCCTAGCAGTTGGCCGTGACCGGTTGGTAACTATCTAACGGCCGAAAAATCTTTTCAACATCCTGATGTGACCTCAGACAGCTATGTTGAGCAGCAGCCTCAGAATTCAGACACTTTTGTTTTCTGCTCTGTGTCATCGGTTGTACCGAATCCAAGTGGATCAGATCACTGAGTCGTTCGCTCTCTATCGAGTCCCCTAGAATGCCCGTGCAAACCGCTGCCTTGCGGTTCAAAACATTGGGTTAGAAGCTGAAAGAACTCTCAGATAAAACCGTGCAATAGTGTGTCAAAATTTTAATAGTTTCAGTGATTCTATTGGTTGTTGATCAGTTGGCAGCTGATCTGTTCATCAGGCTTGACGATTGGTTTGCAAACTTTTCGTCACCATGCATGGAGATGTCAGTGTTCGGCCTGGTGGATAATTCCTCTGCCTCTGCTTGCGTTCTTGTAGCATATGAAGAGCGCTTAAAACTTGCAGTCCGTTTAGTTGAGGGTTTATCAGCGCGTAATCAGATTGGTTCGTTTGGAATTTCGGCTGCTTTATGGTTTAGTTTGAGTGCCTCCACTTCTGCCGTTTTGTCTCCTTACACCGATTAGCCCGTCTGTTCTTCCTGTGTTGCGTCGCAAAAGTCTTCGGGAGCTCCGGCCGCTAGTAATAGTGCGGGTGATTTAGAATTTTGCCGCCGAATCCGTCGTGCTCCATATCGTACAATAACCGGGCGGGTTAGGGGAGGCCAGTGTCGGTGGAGAAATTTGTGAAAAAGACGGATTCACAACTTATTCGCAAAAACTTTCTCCGCAGAGATGACTCGAACGCTTTGAACGGGAGCTTAAGCAGTGTTTTACAACAGGGCCCCGAAGATAGCCGTACAGTTGAATAAAATATGAACCTTAATTGTTCATTAAAAGGGGGATTGAAGCGCGAAATGTTCCCCCTTGAAGTTGGTTGGTTGTCTTCACCTCTTTACAAAAATGATAGGGGAGCTTCGGTAACATACCGAAAAGAACTCTGCTACACGATATGAGCAAAATTGGGGAGCTCTGCAACTATTCGAATTTCCAAAAAGTATACAAACACTGCGAACGCCATCGCTGCCTCATTGAGTGAATACTCAGAGTAACTGGTTCGCGGCATCGCGTCGACTTCCAGGGCGAGGTTGGTAGATCTCAATTATATGGACGTAATTGCTAGGCTAGCATACTTCTAGGTAGGAGTTTGAATAATGTACAACTCGGCCACGGGTAGCTGGTCATCTGTGTGGTTATTCCGCAGTTGGACTGTGTAAAGCACCACTTAGTCGCACAGCTCACGCCACGTGATCTTTTGTGACCTGGATTATACTTACTTCCCACAAAGATGGAAACTCGTTAAATGCAGGTGGCACACACCACCGTGCTGGGGCCGAGATCAGGAACACTGATCTTACTCGGCTTCTGATACCTTCATTGTTTCTGTCCGGGTTTTGACCACTCAACAAGAGCTCAACACTCTTGCTACCGGTGGCCTGAACACTTCGATAAGGGACTCAAGGACTTATCTTATTTGCAATCTGATCAACAGACTACTAAGCCAAATGCATGGGAAAGTCAGATCATGTTTCAAGACACCCCAGAATCCTGCTGGAAATTTCATATTATTCGCGTTGGTCCAGTAACAAGCTTTCTGAGGATGGACGCTGCTAATCTTGCCTTTGTACAGCGGTTTTTCACAAGTGTTTATGCTTAATCATATCGGGGTGCTAACTCTCCTTTGACAGCGACAGTTGTCATTAAATTGGGAGAACACATTTAGACCTCAGATAGTGTGTTCAGCATTTTTCTCACTTTCGTGTGTTGCTATCTGCTCAGAGTGCTTGAATTTCGCCCACTACCACAGGTTACTAGCTCCAACACCTTCCTTTCTGATGATGTTTTTCTGTTGCAACTCTTGAGATTTTAGTTGGCCGGAAATTATACCGCAGTGTTGATGCATTGGATGATTATTACTAGGTAGTGATTTATTTCTGTACATTGATCTTCAACTTCAAACCATATGTTCTCATTGTTTCGACAGCCCGATTCTTCGGACATCGCACCCACATCTATCGCAGCCCAAGATGCATGGATTTCCGGCCTCCCCATAAATCCCCCGATGGTCCACAGCTTGGCCTGTTCTGCCTCTGGTGACTTTGTAGCCGCAGGTCTGGAGAAAAGTACCATTGAGTTGTTTTCTGGTGACGGAAAGCGCCTCTCTCACAGAGAATCCCTCTACGGCCATCGTCGTGCCGTGTCTGCACTACATTTCATTGGGGTAGGCTTTCCTTCCTCTTTGATGAGCGCATTTTAACCCTCAATTCAAAAGATTCCATTTTCTTCAGTTTGGTGTTCAGCTGTTTTGCTATCACACCGATTCTCCTGTTCGCCCCTTGCCGGTTCGCGTTTTGTATAGACATGAGTGTTGTGCGCTGACCGACCGACCACATTCGATATGCGCCTAAATGTTGGTTCTGCTTAATCGTGAACAGGGCCTACAACATTCGAAGAAAGTTGTCCGCCATCTGCTACCCGCTTCTACTCGGTTTGTGTATGATACCCTGCTAGTTTCAAATTTCATTTCAGTATTCAGTTTTTTAAGTCGAATAAGAAATGAACTGAACTATAGCGGGAGACGACTGAGATGTCGGTCGTTTGAACCTCTACCCCTTGTTTAATCTCGGATTTGCGGTTCCTTAAGGGATGTGTTGCCCACTGTAAACATGCAACGGCTGAAGTGCTTCGACTGGGAGATCCGGGGCTACACCTACACGATGAGTCCCGGAAGAGGAGGAACCTGGTAGTGGGTTTTCGCGGGTTTACTCGACTTCATGAGCAGTATTGGCACTTGATTTTACCTCACCATCTTGATCCTAGCAACTTTGTATGTCTGCTTTCGTAAGGTTGATAGAAATGGATCGTCGCCAACATCAATGACAACAATACACCAGTTCGTAACGCTGATGTTCGACGTGCGATGTGAGAGAAGAGTTGGTTCTACTACAAGGAGCTCGAAACACTGTCGATTGCTAATGTAGCCTACTGGATTTGCCTGTTTGCTTCGCTGTGGCTTTCACTGACGAAATATCCGGATATCGCTGTGCAATCCATTTCCGTCCCGCCCATTTTGAGTTTCATCTAGTGGGCTGGTTGCCGTGTCCATCTGTGTAAGCAGTTCATTGAGATTACATTAGTTTTCGTCGTATTGGTACATCTGCCAAAGGAACTTACAGTTGCTACCGGAATCCGAATACCGGTTGTGTTCTTAACTGTATTAGGTTTCGTGGAAAATGTACACAACATTGGACAATCTCTACCTGCTGGCTGGTTTGGAACCTGTCAGTTTTTGGTTGTCAGAAACTAGGCTTCGGTAATTGTCCACTGATGAACCACCGATAATCCACTTTGATGTTGCTACATCATCATCGGCAGCATGACGTCAGTGTTCAACACCGATGCTTCGCTGTTGTACAACCATGGTTTATTTGAAAGCCTTTTGTGAAGAAAATAATAAAGATGGATGAGGAAGGAACTTATTGATATCTTACTACAGTCATTCTGAGGTGCCTACATCTCCAGAACCCGACCTCTGCCTCTCGACTTCCCCTGTCCAGGCTTAGGCAACCTTGCAGTATCTCAGCCCTCTTGCTTCCTTTGTGGCATGGCAGCTAGGCACCGAAAGGGTGCTACAGCCGAACGATTTTTTCACACCTCTAGACACTCATTCAGGCAATCTGGATAGGATGCCATAGAATGCCATTAGCTTCGATTGGTAGCCATATCATGCAGCGTCTCCAACTACGCGCATTGGGAATCTCGCGGTCCCCATCCTGGAAGGCGAGTGGCATTGACAGCACCCAAATGTTTCATAATCTCTTCCATATTCCTCTGTCAGGTGGCCAATGTTTTACCAGCTCTGCTTCTGCCACTCTCTTCGGCAAACAATGGTTCGGCATGCGCAATACATGGCCTAACCACCACGGCTTTTGGTGCTGACATATTCTTCAATGGAAGTGCCTGTTGTACAATCGAAAACTCGCTTTCTAATTGCCTCGTTGCGGCTTCTGCGACACCAAGCCACACAAGCTTTGTTTCTGAGACAGCGATTGTCGAGCACCTGAAGAACAGGCAAAGTCTCGCAGCCGTAGAACAAAACATTCCGCACTGTAGCCTGATACACATCCCTTGAATTTCGGGGATACAAAGCCTTGACGCCATAGGTGTATCAACTTGGCAGACGCAACCCGGGTCTTGCGGATTCGTGAATTGAACTCACCTGTCACACCACAATCCGAACTACAATTTCCGTGGTACGTGAAACGCTCCACGACTTGAGCGTCTTCCCCTGAACTGTAAGTGTGGTGTTCGGTGACTGCATGACCTTGTACTTTGTGAGTGCGAATTGCATATCAAAGGCCGGGATGACTTTGTCCAGTTCACCCGAAAACACCTGCGCCTTCTCCTCTTCGAAGACGAAAACGATTTCGTAAGCATATTCCAGATCGACGAGGTCGCGTCAGTGGCTACTTGAACACGAAGACTTCGGAGACCTCCCAGTGTTTGTCTCATGATTCCATCGATCACGAAGTTAAATAGGAATAAAGAAAGTGTACATCCCTGACGGACACTGCGTTATGTACGGAAGCCTTTGGAGAGCTCGACGTATACTCTCATACGTCCGTAACTTCGAGAATACAAAGAGCTTATGTTCAGTTGGTGAACGGTTTTTGGAAGTGGGTAGCGGCCACCAGTCGTTTCTCAGTAGTACCGGTTCTAGATACAATGGGTGCGGTTTTGCTACATGGTATCCATGCACTGTTCCAGTGATCACTTTTAATGCCCTCTATGTTGGATCACAACCACAAGGTTTGGATTTAAAAGCTTTGCTGTAATTTCCCGGAAACCAATATCTTCAATTGCCTATTTTGTTCGGCAACTGTGCTGCGATAAACGACCATGCTTGATTTGGTTAAACACTTTCAATCGTGTGTTGTTTCGCTGAATTATTTCCTTAATCATCTTTGCTTATGCTAAATATCTGTTAAAATCTGGTAGTATCTCGGCCCTAGTGCTTCCTTCGGGTGGCGTGGCAGCTAGGCACCAGAAGGGTGTTACAGGTGACCGGTTTCTTAAAACCTGTGACGTTCACAATTACTACCAACATCGCGTCCTCTCACTACAGATATATTTAGCCTCAACTCACAGGTGATTTATTTCGAACTAATGGGTGAATTGCTTTGTGGCGTTTGAATTTTCGGGTAGATACACCAACTGTAGTTTTCTTTTTCGTTATTAGGTCCTAGTCGACTATGTATGTGCCGTCATCAGTCTGCTTTTTAACACCACCCGATAATTCATCGGTGGTGACTGCAACAACTAAAATCACGAGGTCGTCTGATGAGAAACCACATGATTGGTGCACGCATACCGCACAAGCTAAAATTTACACCCAAGAGAACGGATCTAGACAATGTGACGAAGGTTATAGGAGTACTTGCTCTTTTTATGCAATGCTAGTGATCATCCAGTTGCCTACAACAAGCCCACTGCTCTATGTTTTACCGTTTATGAAAAAGCGGGCTGAATTCTTTCTAGTAGCTCGTTCAAGTTGTCTCAGATCACGGTGCGCGACGCTAACGTGGTGATATTCTCAAGTGCCATGGAAGAAATCAACCAAGCAGTTAGACAATGAAAGATAACCTCAAAATTCAGGAATTTAGTAGAATATTTCAATTCACTGTGGGTCGTGGGATGATTTTAAAATCAGTCCGCCATACTATCCTGTCACCCATTGTTACCAAAGCCATCAAAGATGGTGGTCTAAAGACCGTCCGGTCCTGGCATCTTGTCACGTTTCAGTACAGATATTTGGTACTTTATTTCTTCTTCCGACGGGCGATCAAGGTTTGCATTCCATTCGCCCGTATGCGCTATTACCAGAGGCTATGTTGCAGAAGGCCAGCTGAACTGTTCTTCGAAGTGCTCGGCCCATCTTTCCGGTTGACGTGCTTGCGAGTGAATTATTGAGCCGTCTTTTTCACTTATCGTTTCACTGACCGTTGTTCTCCCAGGCCTGGTCAATCGTGTCAGTTGATATAGGGCACGGGTGTTTCCCGTAGCAAAAGCCTTCCCATCTCCCGAGCTTTCGATGTCCACTGACGCTCTTGGTCTTTCCTTGGGACCTTCACTACTTGGCGTTTGAGGGATTTGCGTGCGCGGTCGTGCTCGTTGCCTGCTGCTATGGATTCCCTGGCATCAATCATAACTAGCGATCTCTACGACATCCAGTGGTCTTGTGGTCGAATTGGAGAAGTCGTACAGACAGCACTGAACGCCACTAATATAGTTCTTTTCACATTTTGCCACGCTTCATACACATTCTCATCGCCACCCCAGTATTGGTTTACTGTGGAGAGTTTCAGGGCTAGCTCGGATCGATACTGTTGAGATATGGTAGTTCTTCGTAGATGGTGGATTAGGATGCTTCTTGCTGGCTTGCGATGTTCTGAGGGGAAACGAACTGTCAGGCGTGCAAACACCATGGTGTAATCGGACTCAAGTGCTGTGCTCCCGGGGGACCAGCAGTCTTGAATTGTGGCTTTCTGCTGTTGGCTGATGACCACGTGGTTCAACTGGGCCGATGGTTGATTTGAATTTGGGGATTATGTGAATCGAATATTTATGCTAATGTCTCGTACAGGCCAGAAATTGTTGATGTTCAGGACACAACTGGAGGAGTTGCTTTCTGTTGCCTGTGAGGCAAACGTCGACCCCGAACCGACTGCTCAAATGTTATTTCATGGAGCTCAGACGACCTACTTGCGTATTCGAATCGCCCGCAAGGATCGCATTATCAGTGCTCCTTGCTTGGCAAATGATCCTGAATAATAATAAGTAATAACGAATAGAAAGGAAATTGAAGTTATATTTGGTTTATGTGACCTGGAAAACGGTTCCATAGACTGCCTCTGTGTGTTTGTTTCCGAATTTGGGAAAGTCAGTCGTGCGTCCATAAATTCTGGTGGGAAGTGGCTTGAATCGCCGTTAAGAATCCACACAAGCTTGTTGTAATTTGTTCAACTGGCCAGTCAAGATAAGGGATGGAAGTTGGGCAGGATAAAATACCGCCGTGTTCTGGTGGGTCTTTTTTGCTGACGACATTGTACAAGCTCTAGTTCAATTCGGTCGTGCATAAACACTTGTTTCTCCTTACACGAATTCACTATAACTTAACAGTAGTTCAGAATGGGCTGTTGATGAGTGTATCAAAACCGCCTCGCAGGGTCGGACTGTTCGGTCCTGGAGTGAGATGTATTACCTGTGTTCCATGTTATGATCCGTTGTAATATTGTCATTTTTTCTCTGTGCCATATCTATATGAGCGCCGTCTAGCCCTAGTACTGCTCCTGTGACCACCAAACACGTCACTATTCACCTTAATTTCGTTTTCTAAAGTCTACTGACTCCAATTCCCGTTACAGGATAGTCACCTCGTTTCTGGTGGTAATGACTACCGTTTGTTCGTGTGGACGCTCGGGGTTGATGTGGACGGGCGTGAACTGTTACACGACGCCAAGGTTAACGCCATTG